CAACCAACCAACCAACCAACCAAAAAGCTAACTGAGGGCGGAGGCCTGCGCAAGCGCAAGCATCGTCCCTACCTAGGTGACACCATTCCTGCGCTCAAGGCGCATTGCTGGAAATGGTAAACGGTCTTAATATAAAAAACGGAAATTTTGCTGACGCTAACGGGGTTTCGTCGTGGCTGGGGCCTCGACCATTCAAACTGGGATCTGTTGCTGCTGATGGGAGGTTATCCCGTCAGGCAAGTTGTCCAAAGGAATTTGGTTGGTTGGATCTCTGGGGTTTGAACCCAGAGAGGGAGGGGCCGTTTCGGCTGAAGGCCTCTGCGGCATGGGGGGTAGATCACTTCAGCAGTTTTATTGAATGTGTATTATGTGAATTTATCCGTAGGGACTGGAAATTCAAGCATCCTAGGAGGAAAACATACAGTATTCGCCACGCCAAGGTGGGGAAGAACAGCCTGTTTTCCAAGGAAGTGCTGTACACACTGTTCCTCACAAATTTCATTTCACTTCTCCTTGGAACTGGAGTTGGGTAAGGAAATTTCATTATTGACAATACAAGTAACAAATCATAGACATCTCAGCATGTTATCGGAACAAAGACACAAGCATTGATGTTCAAAACAATTTTCTTGTCACATTGTATTTCGTTGGTCACAAATATAGTGAACTAACCTGTAGTTGTTACTACAGCAAAATTTGACAAATGATTTAATTTCTTATCAGTCGTTCGTGCCCAAAATCGCTGAATATCATAGGAAATAAAATATCATCCCTAAACGTAACATCTTAACTGAGACTTGAACCCAGGGTATTTTTAATGTTTGTGGTCTTTGTTCCTGTAATTTCTTCACTGAAACAATTGATCTTGGTAGTTTCCAAGCTACAGAAACATCTTCACTGGGATGAGTCGCTCATCTAGTCAAGAAATTCCCCGCTTTGTTTGGGACCTGAATGTTCATTACCACATTCACAAGAGCCCACAAACAGTCCCTATCGTAAACGAGATGAATTCAGTCCATACCCTCCCATTCTACTATCTTAAGATTAATTTTAATATTACTGTATACTCCCATCTACACCTTGGTCTTCCAAGTAGTTTCTTTTCTTCATGCTTTCCAGCCAAAATTTTGTGGTCATTTCAAATCTTCTTCACATGTGCTTCATCCTTCTTGATTTAATCATTCTAATGATGTGGTCTCATGGATTGCCACCTCGACGTGGTGGGAGGGCTCAGTACTAATAATCCAGACGACCATGCCGGGGAAGTGTAGCTTGCTAGCTTGCCGACTGGTAAGAGGGGAGGGAAACTAAGAGAATCCACAACGTGAGAAGCAGCGTTTGTACCAGATTGGGCGGCTATCAACAGACAACAAAGGCGGTGAAGAAGGTCTTCGGTACGGCGGAGTTGTCGGAAGTGGCAACCGTCTCTGTGAGGTTAATACACGAGAGGAGCGTGGTTAGAGGCTCAAAGATGGCAGCACCATCACTGAACTTACCCTGCACAGCGCCCGTAACGCAGCCAGCGGACATTTATATCACTGACAATCTTCAAGAGAATTACCGAGGATAAGGTGGATAGAAGACATACAGAAAACAACCCCTGAAGTCGGAACAGGTCGCAGGTCTAAACCGTGAAGTTGAAGAAGAATAATGTTTGGGGAAGAGTACAGGTTATGAAGCTATGCAGTTATCTCCAGCTTCTTGTCACTTCATCCCTGTTGGGTCCAGATATTCTTCTCATCACCCTGTTCTCAAACACCTTCAATATGTGTTCTCCATCTAACATAAAAGACCAAGTTTTACACTCTTAACAAGAGGCAAAATTATAGTTTTCGTATTTAATAATTTTGTTTTCAGGTACCAGACTAGAAGACGGAAGATTGTGAACTGCTTGGCAGCAAGCATTCTCGTAATATACGGTAACTCTCGGTTTACGAACGAGTTCCGTTCCAAGTTCTTGTTCGTTATGTAAATCTTGCATTCCTGAGCTTTTATGATACGTATCGTATACGTTAGCAGCCATTTTAAAGATTAAAACCATGTACTAATTATCATATAATAATTTTCTGATAATTATTGTAATAAATACATTTTTTAAAAGTTTATTTATTTAAATCTTACAATTATTTTCGCTATACGTTTGGATTTCATTTTATAAGGAACTCTATCTATTGGCGACTTTGAAAAATTTAAGTGGGGGATATGTTTTCCCCTGAATATGATAGGAAAGGTAAATTTAGAGGAAGAAGGTTATGGTAAAAATCTCACATTGGAGACATTTTGTTTTTTAGGAATATTTGCACTCTGTGGATTGCAAGTTTAAAATTTCTCCATCTGTTTACGAGGAAACTTTCAATTAATGTGGAGGTGCTAGCAATTCTTAATGAATGATTTTGGTTTTTATGAAAGGAAAATAATCCTGCTGCTGCTCATATCATCATCATCAATCCCGTAGTACCTTGATATATTTCTTAGATTAATTTCCATGTTTTAAATGTGAATATTTTTTTAGTACAGTACAGTACAGAATTTGTTATTCATTTTGTTTGTCTAATTAATTTTGTTCCATTTTTCAGGGTTTGGTTGAGTCGGAGAGGAATGTACCTGCCGCGTATTAACTTCGAATGACTCGTCAGTTAAACGGCCAGCAAGCTAAAACTGGGGGTGGCATCTGTGATTGGCTAATTCAGGACCGAATACCATCACATGACAGAAGACTGATTGAGGGCTTTTGTGAGGATTGAAACAAGATAGGAAAGCCTCATCCTTAGTGGAGGCTTATGGTGAAAAACACTCTTCTTATATGTTTCGTATGTATTTACTGACTCGTACTGCTAGAGCCTGAAAAAAAAAGAGTTTTTTTTCCTACATATTCTTATACACTCACAATTGCAGTGAAATTGATTATATTTGTACCCAAAGTATGAAATCACAGCATTGGTACTCACAGAACTTAACAATTAACACAAATTTCTTAAATCTAACACACAAAAAAATCAATAAATTTTCTTCTGGATTTTCTCATTTTGCTTTATCCTCTGTGAATCGTGTCTCGCAGTTGTCAAGACGTAACGTTTGTACGCGTGGGAGAAGATGACGCAGAGCCCCCATCATCGGGGCAGCGGTGAAAAACGACATCCACGTCCTGGATGGAATTTTAACGCTCGGACCAAATATCTGTTTGCTACTTTATACAAAATCAATTGGATTGACTTTGGCAATGAATTTTGCTGGAAATACCTTTCGTTACTTTTTATGAATCGCTCTTCGTGATATACAGACAGGTAAATGGCGCCTCTGTGTGAAAAGGTAAAAAAATTGTTGACCCTCTTAATGAACACGGATCAGCTACTTGTCCCTCGTAAAAGTTTGTGGAAACGCCTCCGGTTATAGTTGATCTTCGGGGCCTCTGCCTGCCTAGAATGGTGACGTCCATTTATGAGCGAGAAACGATGTTGGGATGATGATGATGTGAATGATTGCCAGCAGCTACTTGTATTTTACTGGTAGGCACCTTAGTTAAAATTACGTGACACCCCAGTGCATATTCTTGCTACTAAATTTAATTGAAATCTGTCGAGTAGTGCTGGGGATGAAACAAGCAGAGTGATTGACGTGTCTTTCCAATTATTCAGTTATTTGATATTCTCTGTGTAGAAAACTCTTAGAAATGACTTGGCATAGAAAAATTATTGATTTTTTTTTTTACAAACTTTGTACTATTGTACATTAAATATGGTAGCATACAGTATAAATTAAAGTTTTATGCTGCAGTAGGTGCTAAAAGGGGTAAACGTAACATCTGTAAGTTGTTTCTGTCTCGTGTCAATGAGTCTGCCAAAAAAAAAAACTGTCGAAGTTGGGAGTTATCCTGGTGTAAGTAAATATAATTATACTTTTAAGGGCTTACATGATCCAAGTTTATTCTCCAGGATTTGGGATTCTCCTTCTCCTTCTATGGCTCTCCGGTCCGTATTCGGTCCATGGCCTCCTCAATTCTCCTCTCCCATTCGGTCCTCTGTTAAGTCCGTCTGTCCGAGGCTTTGAGGTTTTGAAACATGTTCCTTTTTACGGTGCAAGGTTGTTAGCCTTGCGACCAACCCCCAACCTGGAGGACCAGGGTCCCTGTCTTAGTCTGACCTCTCCCCCTCGACCAATCTGGCTAGGGAGGCCCTACCAGTAGCTCTTGGGGTCACTGACGTACTCAAGCCCCACCACCTCGACAAGGTGCAGGTACCATTAAGTGAGAAGGATTTGGGATTAAGCTGTATATAATTTTTCAAAGTTGACTAATGCTGTGATTTTATTCATTTATAGTAGCTAATAATTTTGACTTCTTAACTTACTGCTTATGTATGTAGCAAATTAGTGATGTAATACGTAATGGATACTTCTTGCTAGAAACTTAAATGGCTTTGTTATCTGATGGAGGAGACAATTGAAGAATTACTTTTATATATATTGTTTATAAATTTATTTAAAGTAGGAGTTATGGGATGTTTGTTATTCTTTGTGAGAGAGAGAGTAGTTTTTGGTGTTGCACATATCTGTTGAGTCTTTGAGGATGCAGAACCGCAGTGTAAGTCGATTCTGTTTACTTTATTCTTCGTGTGACACATTGAGGCAACTGTGACCCAAAATTTCTTCTCAGTAAATTTTTTCGTACAATCACGGTTTGAAACTTATTACTACTTTAGTAGGTGCAGGTGCATATTATTAGGGAATATGATTTTTGGGTTAAGGCCTCTTTCATCCCTCCATTAATTTAATTATAATTCAGGTATTTAATCTGAAAGCTTCTGATATGTAACATTATCAGATATTATTTGTTATTCGTAGTAAACCTTTCTAAGGTCCATAAGTCGAACATGGGAATGCTGAATTATGTGCCAAGACCATATTTTTTAATTTTTTTGGAATTAAAATTTGGTCACTGACTTTATGTAAACAAAGCGTAGTGAAAAGTTTTGGAGGTTGTGTAGGAAAAGAAGGAAAATTTTGCAGAAGTTTGAAAACTGTTAAATATATTTTAGGAAGTAAAAGGTTCATAGCGACTAGGTATATGATATCACTTGGCAAGCATAAGTAAGCACATAATAACACTCAGAACATCAGAAAGGCCTTTAAAAGTAAAAGTTGATTTCAATCTAAGTTGCGTATTCAAAGTTACATCCAACTTTATTCCCTGGTATTTTAGAAAATAATAATTTTCACTTTTTTGAGTAGACATGTTCCAGCTTCAGAATCTCTCAATCCATTAACATTTTGGTGTTCATATTTCTGACCACGTCATCAGATAAGAATGATCTTGTCACCTTAGCATAATCAGCCATAAACCCGAAGATCATATATACCCAAATTATGAACTGGTAGAACTGCACTTGATCATGTACCTTGGTAATGGATGTTTCTCGAACAATATGAGACTATCGTGGTGTAAAAAAATGTTAATTGAATTTTGAAACACATTTAATAAAGAATATCTGAAGAAATCTTAAGTCTGAAACAGTGTTTTTACAGCGCTGGGCATTAATGAAGCGATATAACCAGTACTCTAAAAGAATACATTTTTGAGATAGGTTTTTGTTAGATTCATTTGTGGAAGGGGAGATGGGCCATGCATTATTCCATTGTTTCATTGGAAACATAACATGATAACAGATAATGGAAAATATTGACTGAGAGGTCATTAATTATAAATACAGTGATACTTAAGATAATGGATCGTTGTCAATGGCACGGCTACTAGCAATGACATACATGGAGATAGAATTTGCGGATAGTCACTTCCCCTCTTCATATGCAAAGTTTATGGAATGAATGTGATGTTTAAGCAGATTTAACTTAAGTTGAGGTACTACATTATATATATACTTTTCTAACAGCAATAAAAATAAATAATAATGTTAGTTCTCAGTTCACTTACCCTCCACTAAGTCTGGAATTAATCTTTATCATAAGGGAAAAGGTGATTTAAAGCTATATATCAGTGGTTTTCAACCATTTTTGTTCGCGTACCCCCAGATATAATTTCTCTTCAACTTTGTACCCCAAAAGTTGTTGGTGTATAATTCAAGTTATACACAGTATATAATCTACATCTAAAATAAATTAAATAAATTACATTACTGATTATTCAGTGTTTATCATAAAATAATATATATTTTTTTTAAATTTCATGTACTCCCTAAGATGTCTCCGTGTACCCCCAGGGGTTGAATACCACTATCCAGATTTCTGGGTTTAACAGTGTAGTGGTATGCTAATGCTACACACGGCTAGCTGGACGCAACGTACAGTGCAACACATGGCTGATAATGTTTAAAATACTTCTACAGTAATTATGTTTGTCTGTGCTAAAATAGGTGTACATATTTTTTTGGTCGCTGTATGCATGATCTTTAAAATATGGTACTTGCGGTCTTGAGTTGCATAGTTGTGGGTTTAAATCCACTTTTGGAAAGTGGGTGTTTTTCGTTCTACCAGCCATATTGCTGCCGCCATAAACACCCTCTAGTTTTGGGTTTCAGGTAAAGCATTTTGGGCCTTGGGAAGTGATTGT